TTCTTTTCTTTCTTTTACCCCTCCCTGCTCATTACGTGGTACAGCCCCGAGGCAAAAGTAGTCAGGCCTACCCAGGACACCCTGAGAGCGGCCCGCGCCACAGGTACCTCTCTCCTGGACTCTAGAAACACGGGACGATGATGGAACCAAAGCAACGCCTGACTAGACTCTTGATTTTTATATTAAATCAATTAATCCCAATCAGTCGTTTACTCATCGTAAAAGACATGAGATTATTAGATCATTCTGATTTTTAGCCTCTATAACTGATTAGTTTTTTTAAAGGCTTCAACCCTGTGTTCCATGATCGTCCCTTATCCTAGAGACCATGTTACCAGCTCTTAAACGAGTGGGGAATCGCCTACATCAGGCCGCTCCCTTTCTCCTTTAAATGTTTTATTCCACTGCTTCTCTTTGCCCTGCTGCTTTTTTGAATGGCATCATGAAATTACTGCCTTGTCATACTGTTTTTGCTTCTCCTTTTCCCAGAGTGACTATAGCACTCTCCTCGCCCACTAGATGGCATTATCTGAATCCCAGTGACCCCCCCTTCTCCTCCTCCTTTGGCCCTCTTAGCTGTTTTTCTGTCTCGTGTTTCCTTCCTGTTTCATTCTCCTCATAGTTGAAAGCAGGATATGATCCAATAACTCCTGCAGGTTTTTTTTCCTTCTACCTTAACTCCCACTTTCTTTCCTATGTTTCTTTTCCAGACCTCTTAAACTCACCCATCTCTTGACTCTGATTTAACATTCTATGATTTTCATTAAATGCCAACAACAACAACAACAACAACAACAACACAGGCCCGGAAGACTCAGCCTAAACTAGTCTTGCCATGAGTGTTGTAGCACAAATAATGTCTCTGTTTTCCCCTGATATCGTCCTTTATTTTAGAAGTAGGTAACTCTCTATCACATACTAATGAGCTCTGGAAACTGAAATCCAGCCGGCTTTAAAACACGAGCCACGTATAAACACACACACACGTTGCTCACAGCAGCTGTACTGTAGCATCGAGGAGGACTAAATGAAACTGGGTGAAGGAGGGTTGGCGTTTCTGACCCTCCTTCAGCCTCTGTGAGGATGAGCTGCAGTAAGAACATGCTGTTCCTCCCATTGGGAGTCTTGGCTCTAACAGTGGAAATCTCCAGAGAAGCATTTGGCATTTCTCCTGCATCTGTTTGGAATGAGACGTGACATTGAACTCTCACACACTCGGCACAAAAGCCAGAGCTTTGTCCCCCCCCCCAATGAGAGACACAGCCGACTATCTCTCTATGAATGCTTGTGGTTGATTCTTCTTTTTTTTTTTAAGAGTGTGATTGTGCCCAGTGTGTGTGTGTCTGCAGGTCTACTGTACACGTCTGTGTTCAACTCTGTGACTCTTTTAATCTCTCTACCTTTTGGATCTGGGTCTATTTGCTGCATCTGTTGTACTTTTGCTTTCCTTCTTGTTGAGTGTTCATTCTCGTCAGACGTGGGTAAAATAGTATTTGCAAACGTGTTTGTTTTAACCTACTTAAAATGTCAGATTTACTGCAATTTATTGATTAATCTGACAAATATTTTCTCAATTGGTTGTTGATCACTAAAGCTCAGAGTGATGCTTTGAGTTGAAAACTGAAATATATTTTATTTACAATCATAAAAAAGATAAAAAAGCAGCAATTCTCACATTTGAGACGCTGAAGTTCTTTCTTAAAGAATAACTTACTCAATGATAAAATATTAGATTTTTCACTATAAAGACACGCACACAAGAAAAGCTAGAGGAAAGTAAATTTGTCTTGTGCACAGAGCTACAATCTGACTGTACTTTAACACTGACGCTGCAGCGAGACACTGTAAGAATTAAAGTGTTGAAGCTGTCGAGGGTTTTTTTATAACAGCAGTGATTTGCAAACACTAGTGTACTCAGGTCTGTTCTCTGCTGTGTTTAACTTGTGTCTGTGTCCTCCCGCAGCCGGAGCAGATCACCAGGCGCCGCTGGCTGCGTTTCCTCCCGTTCTGACCTCCTGGACGGCGTCTCCTCGTCGTCAACCTCCTCCTCTTCCTCTTCCTCCTCAAAGGGCCAGTCCTTCCTGCTGCGGGTCCTCAGGGCTGCGCTCCCCGTCCAGCTGCTCCTCCTGCTCCTCATCGGCCTGGCCTGCCTGGTGCCGATGACCGAGGAGGACTACAGCTGCCACCACGCCAACAACTTCGCCCGCTCCTTCCATCCCATGCTTCGCTACACCAACGGACCTCCGCCCATATGAAGAAAAGCAGCTGAATATCTACCCAGTGCTTTGCCAAGGACTCCACTGACTCCTGTGAATGTTTCCTCTTCACCCCTGTGCCCTAAAGCAACAAACCCTTCCCCTGCTGGGGAGCGACATGCATGATGAAGTGATTCAGAGGTGATATGAAGACTTCTCTCACTAACATTGCACACCCATTCTCCTGAACCTCAACCCTTTAAAACCTCTCCAGCACAAATGGACCTTCACCTGGAGACCCTCCCACCCTCCTCCCACACTCCTCCAGTCCAAATATTTCACGTTGTTTTAACTTAAATGTGTATTTTATTTTTTAAGGTTTCCGAAAGAAACCTGTGAAATCAATGAAAACAAAGCACTATTTATATACTGTATGTTGGGAGCCAAAGTCGACCGTGCTTTTTGTCCATGATATCCAGTGCTGCTACTATTTATTTAGTGTTCAATCAGTTGATAGATTGTTAGTATTAATGAAGCTAAAGCACCACCTTGAGTGTGGGCTATTGTACCTGACACATTGTACAGCAGACTTGCAGTCTGAGTAGCAATCGTTCACAATGAAGAGTTTGTTTCCAGAACTGGACATCTGAAGAAAAACTGAAGGAAGACGTGACGTATTCATGGTTGACACATTTCAGAAGCTCGAATTTGGAAATGAAGTCTTCATATGATGTTAAAAATCCGAACCTATAGCACTGACATGAGCACTGTTGAAGGTACTGCACTGAAGCCGTCCAGCCAAGATGGCCGACTTCTTTCCCCCAAAAAGCCAAGGCTTATTATTCCTGTTTTTAATTTCAGTATTTAATCAACTGGGGAAAATATGAAAAAGATATTGAGCTCTCTGGTTAAAAAAAAAAAAGTCAACTGATTTGTATATTATTGTTGAAATGCCTTTGAATACAGGCAGTTATTTTTTTATCTTTCTGTTTGAGCATGCACTTGAGAGTCGTCCCCCCCCCCAACACACTTTTGCTTTTAAATAAAGCCAAACAATCACTGGTAGTGTTTTAGTAAACGGCTGTGACCTGGAATAGCGTGCTTTGTAATAACTGCGATAATTATTCTGCGGTGACGAGACGTCGGAATCACTGCGATGTTTAAAACTGAATCTGTAAAAATAAACAACAAAAAAAATGATGAAATATTAAAATGGTTATTTATGTATGTACAGTTTGCTAATGCCGACTTCATGAAGAATACTCTCTTTGCAAATAATAAAACATGAAATATTTACTTCTGTGAATTCTTCCACTTGATTTCTGGGATAGAAACTTTAAGAGAAAACACGGTGATAATATTTTTTTTCCCAATTAATGCTTTTATTTTTTTATGCACAGTAAACGAATGACAATCAGGTCGGGTTTGACTGGACTTACACTGAACAGCTCGAGTGGACAAATCCAGTTCTCTGATCCTCTATGGAGGCTTCCTGTAGTCCTCTCTAAGTGGCACAGATCAGATCTGACAACTTAAGACTGCATCTTTGTATAGTTTTTATTCTGGCAGCATAATTACCTGCATTCACTACACGTCAGTCAACCGTTGGTCTCAGTATATATTTATATTTGTGTACTGCTGTGCTTCGACCACCATCAAAGAAAGAAGATTTAATTAGGAGCAATGTGCTCTTTTATCACAGAGATGTTTAATTAGACCTAAAGCATGTGGACATTTCTAAAATCAGTTACTTTTTCCTGTTTTATTATAATGTTTTATTCTGATTAAATTAAATAATGTAAATATGAAGCGTTTTGTAAAAGGAGGTCTTGAGGATTTTCTGTTTTTCTTTGTGATTATATCTATCTATCTATACATTGAATACATTTGGGATCAGACGGATCAAAGTTATTTGACTTTGAGCTTCGGGGACATAAACCAAACTATTACAGCAGTATTTAGACGTGTATAGCAGCTAATAATAAACACCTGATTGTATCTAGGGCTGATATTTCTTAACAGTCGGATAAAATTTGCTCAATTTAAACAGAAAATAAAAACACATATTACAACATTATGATAAACGGGTGTGTAAATCCAGCCAAACTCAACATGTAATCACTGAATTAGTGGATGAATAGTAACCGGTTGTAGCTTTGACAGGGCTGAAATGTTACAACTGCATCGACACAAAAATCAAATCAGCTCGGAGCCATTCGTAGCTCATTGCCTCAGATTTCTCTCACACACACACACACGCAGACGCACGCACATACATATGTTTATGCAGCTATCCTTGTTGTTAGGACTTTCCATTGACTTCATTCATTGTGGAAAGCCAGAACCTCAGATATGACAATTTGGATTGGCCTTTGGTCCTCATGAGGACTACTGGTCACAGAAAAGGTCCCCAACAGGAAACACACACACACACACACACACACACACACACACACACACACACACACACACACACACACCTTAAAGACAACAAAATCAAGAAAAAAACGTTGGTGCAGGTAAGCATATAGAAACAAACCCACTATACACAAAAAGCTGAAGACAGGGCGAAGTTACCCAACAATAAAGCTTGGCTTCCTTCATTATGTAATCAGTGCTCGAGGATTTGATCGTGCAATTTTTAACTATTCAGAATTCAACATATATATATCCTTTCATCAGTTCATCATTAATAATTTTATCCACAAATATATCAAGTTTAAAAACTGTGTGTGCGTAAGACACGATACCTGACGTTTTAAGTCCTTGATGACGTTGGAATTTAAAGACAAAATAAATTACACATTCATTTTAACCAGTTTTATCATAGTTTAGTGTGTGATCATCCTTTAAATGTAAATGTAAAAAAAATGCCCAATAGCCCCTTAAACCCAAGAGGAAGTGCACTTTGGTTGAAGCGAATACAAAGAAAAACAATTAGCTGCTCGTCATCTCAAATCACCGTAGCTGACAAGAGTGCCACAATATGACCTAACACCTGTAAATAGAAAGCTGCACTGTAAAGCTGTTAGAGACCGACTCAGAATCACAGATATTATGAAAGGCAGCATAGAAGATTAACAGCATTGAAGCTCAAAACGAACCGGAGTAGTGCAAAAGGAAAAAATAACGTCTCCCTAAACAGCTACAACTATAAAATCACTTAATTTATAAATAATTACCTCATGAAATTAACTCAAATAAAACTTTTTATCTTTCATTCTGTGCCACACGCGCCATCCATAAAAATGACTATTGACCTCCGCTCTTGCTTGATGTGCTCTGTCTCATAGGATGTGGGTGCAGTCGGAGCGGGACCCTCCGTACTGCAGGACACCCGGACATGTGGGGCCTCTGCTCGGGCTCTCGTGGCTGACTCGGGGTCCTGAACTGGAACCAGCTGAGGAGGTGGAGCCGCCGCCGCTGATGTTGTTGTTGTTGTTGTTGGTGGTGATGGTGAAGGGAGGCTCTCCGTCAGCCTGGGACCAGGACTGAGCTGGTCTGTCTGGGCGTTGGATGCGGTGAGCGTCCAGCATCTCCAGCAGCAGGTCGTACAGAGGCACTTTGTTCTTGCACTTCATGCTGTAGAGGTGCTCCATTCCTTTGTTGCTGCAGGGAGCATAAAAACAACAAGTCTGTTAACGACTGAAGCTGCTTTCTACATCCCCCGGAGGCTCCGCTCGATGTTAACGCCTTTTGGAAAACATACTTTTGTCTTCTGTTGTCCTCAAGCAATAGCTTATATCATGATTCTATTCATGTTTTAATTTTGTCCTCAGTTGCTCTTTTCTTCTTTAATTATTGTTCATTGTTTATTTATTCTCTCTTTGGAGAATTATCTTGCTAAGCTCTTTATATTTAATAAGGTAAATGTGTTAGTCTCTCAGTACTTTGTCTCTTCTATCACTCATTCGTTCCTACTAAAGATGGAAATCTATAAAAACAGGACACAGATATGGTTTCATTTTGAAGGACCAGTGTGTAGGACTGTAGATTAAAACTAACTGAATACTGCTCGCGTCTGTATTTGACGACCTGGGAATGAGGACAGACTGTAGAGTGTGTAGGAGAAACTACGGTGGCCCTATCTGGATCTAGTGTTTGGTTTGTGGTCTATGAATTTTATATTGCATTTCTGCCATGTTAAACACTGGACCTTTAAATATGTTTGTGTGATCCACTCAGCATACATTATAGTTCCCGTGATCGTTGCAATGAAGAAAAATTGTTTTTGGAAAACCTCTGGAGGTCTATGACACACAGATATAATTAGGATTTGGATACACAGACAAGACTTATCAATTCATTGTTGGTTTTTTGGTCTTTAAGGTTTTATCCTAGTTAAACACTTTTCTTCACTAAATAAAATGTTTTATTGTGGTTTATACATTGTAATTATTACAATTAAAATTATTAAAGATTCACACTAAAAACCAACTGACCTATAAATCAGACGATCGATTACCACAAAAAAAGGCCCTTTTAAAGAATTTACCTCCTACCAGCTGAAAGAATCACCATGTTACTAAAGCACAACTCTCAGCAGCACATGCTGAAATCAAGACTTTCAAATGTGTCAAAAACAACAATTAATTTTAATTAGATTTAATTTTACCTCATGTGTCTGATGTGGGAGAGCAGAAGGAGCAGCTGGGCCTGTCGCCTCGACTGCTGCTGAGCCGAACACCCAGATTGGCTGATGTGATGTATGAGAGCGTCTGTGATGGTGTCGAGCATGTTCTGCACCGCCGCGGTGTCGTGGAGCGGCTCCATTGTGCCGGTGCAGAAAGAGAAGGCACCTGACGGGAGGAAAAAAAACCCATAATGGACCTCTCTCTTCTCAAACTTTCAGTGGGAGTAACGACCTCATACAGATCAAACTGACCCAACCTGCAACAGATTTCAACTAAAAAGAAAAACAACTTTTAAAGCATTCATTACGGATGCATTTTTTGGCCCACAGAGCAATCAAAAGTTCATCTGGCTCCGGCAGCTGTGCCAGTAGTGTCATCCCGCTGGTATTTCTGTCTGCTCAGTTTCCCATATAGAATATCTCAATCTCCGGGACAAACACGGTCCTTCTCTGCAGTCTCATGTTGTCATGGGAACGGTTATCAGGCGTATTGACGGTACAGGCCTTTTCCAGAACACTCTGTTCCCCTAATGTGTCTGAGTAGCATTCAGAGCTACACCTCTGTGGTTGTAGTTTGACACTGTTCAATATTTACTCTCGGGAACAGAAACCTGCGACAAAGCGTTGTGTATCGACAAAAAATGTGAGGAATTCAAATTATATTAGAGAGAAAGTGTCTCTGCTTTCAATTGTCAGTGTTTCTCTGGAAAGTGTTTCACAACCACAACACACAAACACACACACGTTGCCTCACCAGAGTTGAGTAAGATGATAGCTTTGAGGCAGACAAACTCCTCGGGTTTTAGTTTGAGCATGCGGAAGCGGGAGGCGGTGGCCAGCAGCATGTCGAAGATCTCAGCCATACCTTCCACGCAGTCGCCTTCGCTCCTGGAGAACAAGGGGTGGAAGAAAACACAAATTTTAAGAGTTTAAATTCCTCTTTTCTCGTGTATCTAAAACTCTAGTAAGTCACACATAAGTATGACTTTAACACATAACATAAAAGTCAGAGCTGCTGCCTCCCCCGTCCACAAACACCATCCAAAGAGCGGCTGGATAAACAACTAATGGACTGAATCACTGCACTCGCTCCATTTGTCGGTACAGTTGAAAAGTGACGGAAAGATGGGAGATATCCAGCCGGTTGGAGAGCAAGATAAACTTTGAAGCACAGAGCCAAGAGAATCTGTCAACCCTGACCCACAGTCGTTTTAGTCATCATGTCCAATTGCTGAGGACACTCACACGGGGACCAGGTTTTAGAGATAATACTCTCTAATACACTTTTGAATCAAATGGGACCATCAGGCACATCAGAGGGTAAAAGCCCTTGTCTGTCTGCATGTCTGTCTGCATGTCTGTCTGCATGTCTCCCTCTTTCCACCTCTCTTTCTCTCTGAGCTAGATACTGTGGTTTGGCCCGCTTGTTAACTTTGAACAGGGGGAGAAGTGGAGAGAACAGGCTGTGCCCCGCAAAGCAGAAAACAGCCATGTCTCCCCGCATCTCTATTTTCTCGTCTCGTCTCTGTTCGTCATTTAGCTCTCTCTCTCCTCCACCTTCATCCCCGTCATCTCTCCCTACGTTGTTCTTGCTTTTCCATCATTCCTTGCATTGAGGCTTTGATTAAATCTCCGTCCTGGTTGGCAGCTCAGCTCTGTAATGATGAAGGGGGTGTTTCAGGTTCAGGGAGAGGGCTGCTCTCCTCTCTGTAGGGAACATGTAATTAGTCTTTCACTCTATGATGGGCGTGTTGGGATGGCACAATGGCTGGCAATGTGTGAAATGGAAAATCTACAATGCTGATGTATCACTCTCAAGATCTTGTGTGAGAGTGAGAGGAAGATAGAGAAATGGGGGAGGAAAAAAAGCAAAGGGACAGAGAGCTGCGGAAGTACAGAAGGGGGTAAGTGTTCCTCGCTACCTGTCCAGTATGAGGTCCTGTGCAAAGATGAGTTTGCCGGGGCAATGGATGGACCTCCAGATGAGCCCGATCATCAGCACCTCCAGCCACGAGCTCTCCAGCAGTTGCACCTGGTCGTGGAGGGACAGCTGCAGGAAACCTTGAATGAAAACACCTAGATTTAAGACTTCAGTCAACTCCAAACAATCATCAAATAATCAATGAATTCATAAACACTGGACAGCGTGTGTTTTATCCTGATCATAGCAATTAATTGGAATCCGGATCAAATCCAAACACATAAGTGTTGTTCTCTCAGGGCTGATTAGTTGGAGCAGTGGGTGTGTTAACTGAGAATATCAACACTCCCAGAGTTAAAATGTTTGTGCACCTTCAATCCCACTCATAAAGATAAAAATATGCATGCCCTTGTTTTCTGGCAGCGTATGGCTACTTAAATGAAACCACCTGCAATCTCTCTGCTCTCATAAGAGGCCTTATCGCCAGCACTCAGCTGTCTCAATTCATATGTAATTACAGCCAATTCATTCCCATTGTCCCCCTCTGTACTCTGTTTGGGACCCCTCGCAATTAAAACTGTGTGCCTTTAGGCTTTTAGTGACGCACAAGGTTGTAATACCTCAAAATCAGGATTTACTTACTTAGAGAGCTTGTCAGGTGTGTGTGTGTGTGTGTGTGTGTGTGTGTGTGTGTGTGTGTGTGTGTGTGTGTGTGTGTGTGTGTGCGCGTGCAAGCGAAAGGGTGATGTGTCCTATACTGCATTTAGGCTCTATGGGGTGCCGGCAGATTTGGCCAAACAATCCTCTCAAAGGTGATGACTGTAATTACCATCACTGTAATGGCTCTGCATTTGTGCATTTGTGTGTGTGTGTGTGTGTGTGTGTGTGTGTGTGGCTTCCACTATAGATGTCTCCCATCACCTTGCTGTTTCCTAAGCTGTCAAACTAGACAACAATCTGGGGCCACCGCCTCTGTCACACTGTACATCTGCACATTCGAATGTTAAACGCTGTTTCCTAGCTCCAGAACTGACTCACGTGTTTTGCACCTGCCCTCGACTCAACTTGCAGGTTGGATAGCAATCTGTGATCATCCACACTGGACATTAGGATATTATAGAATCTGCATCATCGTCAAGAATTCATATTAAAGTAGGATTTAACTTTCGATCCTTGAAGACCTGATTATGTTTATGAACCATTAGAAAACATAGTTTTCACTGATAGGCTTTTATTTGACTTCCCATCCAACACGTTAATGACAGACAGCAGCGTATCTGGATGGTGGAAGGGGTTGATGTAGTGGGATAAAGACTGTTTATGGGTTTAAATAAAATACATACATAGATACATAATTGTAACCAGAGCCTTAAGCCAAAAATAATAATAATTGCAGCTACAACATTACAACAAACCTGACATACAGAAGTCAGACTCTCAGCTCAGCTGATTATTTAACTCCAGGATCATGTCATTTGTCATTTGGTTATCCAGCGTGTTATTTTATATTTAAAATACAGTTTTAAGGTGGTATAGTTGCTGAATTGCAACAACGTCACATCACCCTCCTGTTGTAAGTGAAAAACTACAATGGCCACAAAACTCGAAGGGGTTTTAGACCCAGTGTTTAAATGTCAGTGTCAAAAATGGTTTATTGTAAGGTGACAAAAACACAATGAAAACATACCTAAATGAATATTATATTATATTATATTGCATTATATTATATTATATTATATTATATTATATTATATTATATTGCATTATATTCCAATAGATCATCCTAAATGTTACACACTGGGCCTTTAACACTCACACACACAATATGTTCAACGCCACTTCTGAGTTATTTACTTACATGTATGTAAAAATACGGTGTGGAAAGGATAATATAATAATATAATAATATAACAACTTCCTACAGACCACATTAGAGACATGTTAAAGGCCCATGATCATGACCACACTATCTATGTTACTGCTCCCTCACATTTAAATGGTTTTAACAAATAAACACATCCTAGTGGGAAGAGATCATTTCACTTAAATCTTTTAAAAATATACATCTTGAAGACAATTTACTGTATTATACAGTAATTTAGGAGGGTTTGTACTATTAGTGGTGCCACTCTAAGCTGTACCTGGAAGCTTCTTGGCCCAGGCGATCATGTGGACCAGCTCCTTATCGGCCATGCTGGTGAGCAGGGTCATCATGGTGACCTCAGTGTAAGGTCGGCTCAGCTTCTGACGGGAGCACAGCATTGGGGGCTCAGCACCCTGGAGCAGGAGGAGCACCTGGGGAAGCAGCAGATCAACACACTGTCCCTCAATTTAACCAGAAAAATACAAGCTGTTGTGCTCCAAATTGATTTTTAGCATCCAGAAGCCACACTGACATGAGATTCTGCATGAATATTTGAGGTCCCCAAAGTCCTCCTGGCCACCAATTTGCACCACAAGATATTCAAAAAACAAATCAATAATTTTCTCCATAAGAACAAGCACCTGCTCAGGAGGCATGCCGATCATAGATGATTTTCCTCCTCCACCGACAGCACTGCTGCTGCTGCTGCTGCTGCTGCTGTGTTTCCTCCTGTCCTGAGGGGGCACTGTTCTGTGCTCCAGGTCCTTAGAGGCCTTTTCTTTGTCACCGGCGCGGGTCCGTCGCTTGTCACGTCGCAAAACACGACCGCGGTCCTTGCGCACCCCTTAAGTACACAGCAGGGGTTTAATGCAGGATAACACGCAGTTACACAGAGAAAAGACACACACACACACACACACACACACACACACACACACACACACACACACACACACACCACTCATCAGGCTTTTTCTTCACTTACACGTCACTCTTAATTTCCTGTTCTTACCACAAAGTCCAACAGTACAGATTATATGGATGTCTGTGTGATTCAAGAAGTATGAAAACAAAAAAATGTGGGTGTGTGTTAATCAGTAGTTGTACTCCTTAAGAGGAAATCACTTCAAGGTCACGTTAAAGTTGGTCTCAAGCTTATCTGCATCCACCAGCCCTCTCATGTTTGTACCAGTCCTCTCAGCAAAAAAAGCCACGATGATAAACGGCAATTAGTTTGGAAATCAAATTAAACATTTTAACCAAAAAAGAAAAGAGTGAGAAACAATAATGCAACTGAATGTTGTAATAAACAGCAAATGGCAGTTTGCGGGTGTTTCAACCAACCTCCTTTCATCATGCCCACTTCGTAACACTTCCTAAGACGGCAGGCCTGGCAGCTCTTCCTCCGATTCCTGTCAATAGTACACTGATTGGTGGCTGGGCACATATAGTCATTGTGACCTGAAAAGGAAGAAAATCTATTACTTCAAGCCCCCCACTCCAGCGTTCAGTTCAGACTTATGTTATTTAGTAGCCAGGAACACTCCATTCCCATATTAAATGGATCTGAGATGGAGAAAATTAAAATGTGGCATCTTGGCTTTGTCATTGTCATGGAGACCGTTGGTTTCTCTTTGACTAGTCTTCCATTGCAAGACTCATCAATATGCCGTAGGATCACGAACGTCACCAAGCAATCGTCAGCAGATGAAGCGTTTGTCTGTGTGAAGGTTTTACACCATGTGGTATTAATAGATATAGGATGCAAACAGAGAGGAAGAGTGGTTCAAACTTTGAATTCTTAAATTCTGGTCTCCTAATTTAAAATCTTTCACTTTTTATAATTTATATTTTCCCATTTTCTCTCCTTTATTGAGTTCCAGTTTGACTGCTTCTTTACAGGCAGGTCAGTTCGGTACCACGAGCCTACAAAACCGGCCCACTAAACACAACGATACAAGGTAAATCACCGTCCATCCAAACTTTAATTTCCTCTGATGTACAAAACCACAATTTTCTTCTGTTGACTGACAGAAAAATGCATTTTATGAGGCAGAGTGCTCCACTTCTTTCTGCATTTACAGTCAGTTATACTGTTAATTGTGTTCCTTCATGTGCTTTAAAAAAAAATTAAAGTTTGAGCATTTCTTTGAGTAATTGACTGTGGTTAATGTGGAAGTTTGGGGAAATTCTTGATAATTTTTACATGAAATTTGAACACTAAACCCTGACAAAATAAGAAACGACCTTTCACAAACATGTAACATATGAGGACAGACAGAGTACGTACCCTGGATGCTCCTCTTAAAGAAGGCCTTGCAGCCCTCACAGGACCACACCCCGTAGTGGTACCCCGAGGCATAGTCACTGCACACGGCACAGAAACGCATATCTTTGGCCATCTCAAACCCACCGGCCCGAGCTCCAGCCCCCGACTCCCCCACACTGTATGAGTCGTCACTGGTGCCACACGGATCCTCTCTGGAAACCGGCTGCTGACTGGACGGGACGCTGGACCTGCCACAGGGAACAGATTTCAGCTCAGTTTCATTTAAAGTGTTTTTTTATAAAGATAATACAGATGAGATGATATAAATAGCTTTCTTGCCATACACAAACAGCTGATCGATTCTAACATTTAACACACTGACTCCGGTGGCAGACACAAAGGCAGAGGACTATTTTCCACCTGAGGCAGGAAACAATTTGTACATGTACTTCTGTTGTTCTTACGTATTGTTCCTTTCTCAAGGTCCTTGACAAAGTCCTTAATCTCTGGAATTAGAAACCAGGGCAAAGCTTGATCCTTTCTATAGAGATAGTCACAATGTTTTGTATAAAGCAAGAGATTAAAAAACAATGCGGTTATATAATTATATTATGTTTTTAACTGCATTATGAGGACTTAACTGAATGCCAGTGGTATAATACGGGAGTGGAAGATATTAAATCTAGTTGAGTGGCAACATTTTGCCTTATAATCATTCAATAAGAAACACCAAGTCAGCAGAGAAAACACAGTCAAATTAAGAAATAAATTAATTATTATGTAAAAGATAAACAACTTCTTCTATGTGTATATTATTCTTTAACTTTGTATTCAAATCAGAGAGAAAGAACCACACAAGAGAACAAATCTGAAGAGTCTGCACCGCTGCTATCAATTAAATAATCATTACAGCACAAACAAGCACTGGAGGTGGCATCTCTCCCAAATGACTTACCCTCCCATGAGATACATTACTAAATTTAAAAGTAATGGCCAGAAAAACACACCAACGTCACTTAAAAAGCAATCAAAGTGGGGATTCATACATGTTTGTAAAGAGTTTACAAAAATAACTTTTCTCCACTCTGGAGAGGAAGAATAAATGTGTTCCCTCACCTGTAGACGGGTGTTGAGGTGGTTTCCAGATAGTGGTGGGTTGGCGGGTGCATAAAGGGGCTGAGTCGGGGGCTGGAGGGCACAAACACAAGAGGACTCGTAGGCCCACTGCCAAGGGACTGAAGGCTTCCATCTGAGGGTGGTCCGTGGGCATCCAGAGGAGCAGAGTAGTAGCCAGGGGTGGAGTGGCTGTAAAGAGGAGTCGGGGCAGGGGTGGGGGCGGCATAGTCATACGTCCCTTCCAGGAAGTCCACAGTGGCTGCCCCTCCAGACCCCCGGCTCTCTTCGGGGTACATGTCACTGAGGGGGGCACGCAGTGGAGGCGAGGGACGTTGCGGGGAGAGGGTCTCCAGCTCTGTGAAGCCTGCTGGGCTGATCCTGGGTCTGACTACTGGTCCGCAATGCTGCCTGCTCTGCGCCGGGCTCTGCCTGAGCAACATCACAGCACAACAGCACTGATATGCAACATGATTTAGACTTGCTCTCCCATTTGCCGGGAGGAGTGGAGACGAGTGCTACTCTCCCTCTCCCTTCACTCTTTCCTCACTCTCTCTGTCTCTCTTGCCTTGTTTTTTATAATAAAGCCTGTCAGGCAACTTGAAGGGTCCACTATTATCCCAGTCCCTCTGCCCTATCTGCCTTGAGCTTCCGCCCACAAAGCTCTAAAAGAAAAAAAGAAAAAGCTATCCAAAAAGACTCCTCCCAACCTCCTTAAAGGTTTTTTTTTGTCAGCAGAGCCTTCGCTTCTTTTCCTCTAATACATCTCATCATCTAATGTGTAGGAGGAAGGAAAGCCTGGTGGGAAAGAGAAAGAGGATGGACAAATAAAGCAGTGATTCCCAAATAACTTCCCTATTCTGTCTCTCACACCACCATGAAATGTTCTCTTCCCTTTTCACCTTTTTCTGACATTGAAAATCTTGCAGCTAAAATCCAGATAAAAAAACAAAAAACAACTCTCAACTAGCCGCAAAGATGTGTAATTTAGATGATACTCTGCACACTACCAGCGTGACGTATGACCGGTCTATTTGTAGCCAGATTATTGAATACACCTGAGACTCTCCAGTAAATCAAATCACTGTGGAAATGAGAAACATTAGGACAATGGTTTTAAACAACGGGGGCAAAAAAAGAAAGCCAAAATCTACCGGGATACACAACTCACCTCTTACACATGAATCATCCTCGTATCTGCTGTGCGACACTGTTTGAGTCTTCTCCCTGTCTCTCTCTCTCTCTCTCTGTCTGCTTGCCTCTCTCGTCTCATTTCTCAGGCATCTAGCCGGGCTCACAATGGGAACAGTGGAAAAGGTTAAAAAAAAAAAGAAAAGGATAAACAAATTAAAGATGCAGCCAAATCGATAACCACGGTGTGTTTAAGTGCCAGGTCACCATAACACAGCAAACAGAGCAGGGGGTCAAATCTCGTTCCAACAGCCAATAATTACACAATCAATCCCAAATGAGGGGACAGATCTTTATTTTTAATAATGACCTAAATTTTTACTTTTGATAAACCTCACAAAGAAATGCACAATTTAAAAAAAATCCTACTTTTTTTTATGACATCGAACTGAAAGGGAGGATGTATATTAGACATAATGCAATGGATGAGTTAATCATTACTTTATCAAGGTAAGTCAGGGAAGAAATAGAACACTATATATAAACAAATCCAAAGCAAAGGGGGCAGAGTATTTATGAAAATAAAGATTTAGGAGACTCAATGTTTGTGTTTTTGCCACAGAAGTTCCAGGATTGTAATTGTGGATGAGGATGGATCATTTTTGTCCTTGCATGTCTTTGGGAGGGAGGGTGAATGTAAAAAAAAACCAAAAACAACTCCTAACTCCTAAATATTGGGATGATTTCCAAACATTTGTTACAACAGGAATCCAGTGTAGAAATAATTAATTAATTAATTAGTGCACGATTTAGCAAAGAGGTCATAATCCAATGAATTTCAGATCCAATGATGAAAATCCAAATAATTTGGGGCTTAAATTAAAATATATGTATTTCCGTGTGATACTATCAGCTGACAGAAATAGTAAAATAATGCAAGAAATGTATAAAGATAATCACATGCAACTATACCTTTCCCCCCCACCCCCCTCCCCACTGAGGAAAACCTGAACATTTGGCACACAGACTTCATTTTCTCTCCTCTGTGCAACATCTTTCTTGAGTAAACAACCCAATTTTCAGGACATGTCAGGTCAAGTGGAAAACAAGTAGTCCTGATGATGATATATGTTTTTTTTTTGTTTTTTGTTTTTTTTCCCCATTTCCCCTGAAATAAAAAGAAGACACGGTTACATTAGAGAACCGGAAAATGAAGGGTGATAAATTGAACGGGTAAATCACCTAAATGGCTCAAGATAGGCAGCTTATTGCCGTAATTTACTACATTTTCATAACAGAGCACATTCGGAAGGCATGTCAACAACCTAAAATGTTCTCCCTGCTTATTGTGGAATTGTAATGCACATGTCGCAGCATTTCCAGCTGTTTTTGTTTGCTGTTTATCTAGGTCCAAGTTGTCCCTGCGCATACAAAAGTTCAACAGGTCACGACAACTGTTGTAACAATGAAACATGTCAAACTACTGGTGAAGATTTAAGCTATTATTTTGAGCGTGTGCAGGTGAATTTATTCATTGGGCTGCAAACGCATGTAAATAAAATACCGTTGCTACACTTGAGACTAATAAACTGTGTGGATTCATACCTTTGATAAAAATGCCAATCGCTACATAAACACACTCATGAGAAAATGCTGCCAGAGAAAGTCATTATTACCCACATCTTCCATTTTCTAATGCTTATAAAGTACAACAGTACAGAGGGAAAAAATGCCAGTCAATGGAGTTCTTTATTAAATTCAACCCATTAGTGGAAATGATATCATTCCCCCCAGCAGCACTGAGAAGAATCCAGTTAACATCACCTCTGAAGTACTGACACTTACACTTTAGATGACATAACGGTGTACACAGAGACGTCCACTTTTATCTATGAAGATACAGAGGTCTGGGTTGCCATTTTAAATAAAACAAGCACACATTGTCACTGTTATTGTTACACTGCCCCAAAAACAGTCTGCCATCTTTTAAACTGAGCCGCTATCAAATGATGTTATGTTCTGCCTTAAGTGATTCTTTTTTTTTTTTATGTGCATGTTTTGATTCATGCATATCGATAACACTGAGTGCAACAGTAAAACAACCTGAGCTGAATTAAAATAAAATTAATATATTACGTTTATCGTCACTCTCCTCAACGGCATGCAAAAACTAAAATATTGCTGCTCTAGGATGGAGATTTATAAAGTCTAATTCTTACTCAATAATTGTTAACAGCATCTATATCAACCTGTAAACATTATGACTTTTGTGCACAACATGTAAGCTACTCGCAACAAAAAAAGATGCACGACACATAAGCTATCTGCTTTGATTTGTCACCTCTGAGGGTACATTTGTCAACGTAACCGATCGCTGTCTTTAAATCGTGGGGAATAATTTGGATCTAAAAGTGCTAACATTTCAAACTATGACATGATACAAATCTGTAGTGAAAATATTTATATAACATTTGTTTCTGTGCATTTCTGTATCAAACATGATGACAAGTGCTAACCGACGAAGAGGAACAAAAACACCATGTGACTTAATGGTCTTATGGCTTAAAGGTAAGTCCTGTATATGAATCCACATCTTCCCAGCGAGATCCTGAGGTCGGTCTTACTGTTCTGACTTTGGGCTGTAGAACTGAATGACCGCGTACTTGCCACTGGTCATCCAGTCTGGATCTTGGGAGGCGAGCTTCTCCCCTTGACCTGGCTGCAGACCGACCTGAACGTTGGCCTTGAGAGTCCTCAGGCTACAGAGTGGCGCAGGCCCAAAACCTCGCAGCGCAGTATCGAAGCCCACTGTGTGATCCCAGTCCCTGTCCCCCGTCAGCTTTCTGTAGTTGAGATCACCTTTGAACAGCACCAGGTCTGCCCCCTGCAGGGTCGCGTACAGGTCGGGAGCATCAGCTGCCATGTCACAGAACTCATGGGGCTGTGTCCAGAAAGGATGGTCGTGATAGGACCACACGCCCTGCTTCAGGTAGCGCTGCCACTGGGCACCGCTCTTAGACATCCACTTGTGATTGGCCGCCATCGTCTGCTGAATGGTCCACTTAAAATCGCTGGCCGTGACATCGGAGACAAACCACGGGAAGCATTTGCCGTGAAAATGGACCTCACGTGCAAGACCGGAGGAAACTAGGAAATCTGCTAAGACCAAGTCAGTGACTAACTCAAAGCCAGCATTGTCTAGAACAACATCCACTCTGCCTGGCTGGCCTGGCTTCTGGGCAGCAAGAAGAGTTGACCATACCATGTTGGAGTCATTCACCAGGATGAAGGGCTGGAGGCTGTTGAGGGAATCTATTGGACTGATCTTCTGTGAGTTTTCTTGGCCAGCAGAGATAGACAGATCACACTTGTTCCCCCATAGAGAAACCTGGGAAGAGTCAAATGGGAAAAAGTTAAACTTGAATCTATTTTAATTTTTTCTTAATCAAGGCATTTTTCGGTCTCAGCTATATTGAACAACTCCACCACTGCAAGTGCAACAAAAGCCCCAGCGAACAAAGTCAGTATGCAGAATTTATCAATGTGATCAGTGCAAAAGATGTGCAGACAATGAAAATAAACAGAATACAGTTCATTCAGGCAAAGGCTGCACCAAAGCAATAAACACTGGAGGACACTTTTAAGCTATTTTATAGCCTACTTTAGTTAGCCTGGATGCAATGCAGAGTTATTCACCTGTATTATTTAGGAAAATACAAGTATTAGATTGGGACTCGGTATCAGCAGATACTCGATATTAAATGACTCAAATTGGGATTGGGGCAAAGAACATGACTGTTCACGTTACACATCATTTGAGCCATTGTTGATGTAAAACTAATTATTAGAGCAGTTTTTAAACATCACTCATTTGATCGTCGTGTATTGAGCTGGTGTAGAAGATACTGACCTGTAGCAGTTTGATAAAATGCTCAAACAGCTGATTCTTGGAGAGTTTCTCCATGTTCTTGTTGACACCCTCCACGTACGTACATAAGGTCATCACAGCCTGCTGAGACTCAAAATAACTTTGAGTCTTCGCCTCATTAAAGTAGTCATAGTCACTGATGGGCGGGCTGAAATGATCAGAAATATATCAGCGGAATATCCTTGAATACATTTAATATGAGGAATGACACTTAATGTTGCAGTCTAAACTATATAAAAGTGATTAAACAATTTCAGAACTACTGAGAGTTTAAGGACTTGGCAGCTTAAATTAAGATTGTCAGTAACTTCTAAACACATTCAGTGATATATTGGAGAAACACTCAAAATCAGGGAATACGGAAGCGATAAAAGGTTCCCATTAAAAGATGTAAATGCTCCTCACTTGAGCCAGATGGCCTCCTGTATCCTGCGGTACATGTAGCACTCCACATAGAGCCACGGGGACTTGAACCAGCTCACAGACTCCTGGTCCTCTTGCAGCCTCTGATGCCTCTGCAGGTACCGGTTCCAGGACTCTGTGTCCTGCAGGCCGTCGGTCACTGGTAGTACTGGCTTATCAGTTTGCAGCTCATTCCTCAGCTTGGACAGCAGAGCTATCGTTTGCTTCTCTGCCTCGATGCCCTTCTGCACAAGTGGAAGAAGATGAGCCTCATTTAGAAGAAGAAGAGGTTAAAAACAACAACAACTGGCATTCAAAACATAAAATACAAACCTCTCCATATTCTTCAAAAAACTTGTTTTTGTTGCGATGTATCGTGTCTACAACTTTGGTCAGGATGGTCGGCAATCTGTCTCTCACAGTCAAATAAGCAAACGACCTGCAGGGAGACGACACAGCCATTAAGGTTACACTGACGCTTCATGATACAGCAGCAGATCACCTGAAGTCACCTCTCGCCTTGCAGACATTTGGGACACTACAGATGACATTTGTTCGTGTCTAATGGTGCTGTCACCTCGTTTTAAGCTTACTGAGTCATCGTCCTGTAGCTTTGCTCGCATGCGTACACTGAACTTCCTACCAACTTGTGAATGTGTTAGCATGAAGCTACCGCTGTGGCTTGGGTTTAAAAACAGCCACAGTCCCAGCGACGTGTAGTTCACCCGTTCAGATACAAGCGTGTAGTTGAACCACATTATTTAACACACTCACAAACTACTGGAATCAGTCGTCAACGTACCCAACCACTCTGGCGGACAGTGATGGAGGAACTCCGTGCACAGTTTGATCGGCCGCCATCATTTGTTTTGCAGCAAGGAGACGGTTCAAATTCAAAACTTTATCGACAAAATGTCCGGAGACAGAAACAAAAAGTTCAGGCGGGTCTTCTTGAGGCTTGAACGCGACTCCGTAGCGTTGCTCTTTCTGTGGGTGTAATGTGGCAAACAGCAGACACTTAACGTCCTGTCTCTGGTGCAATAAATGTTGTTGCATTTGTAATGTTTCTTTCCCGGTTCCTCGTACACACATTCAGAGGTCGATGCTGCCATCTGGCGGTTAATGTGTGAACTGCAGCGTTGTCAGGTTGTGTGTGTGTGTGCGTGTGTGTGTGTGTGTGTCTCGTTACATACTGCCGCTGCCTACGATTATAGTGTAAAACTGCTACATGTTATGTTTTATATAAAGTAACTCGCTTCGTGTGCCGCACATCAGCTTTCATCCTGCCCCCCCCCCTCCAATAAAAACACTTTAAAATGAGCGTTTTCTGGGGTGAATCAATGGGCGGTACGCGCTGCCGCATTGCGCACCGTTGTTGCAGCAGCACCTCGAGCATCCCTTGTCGTCCCGAGCAACGGTTGTCATGGATACATTGATTCGCCCTATCAGAGAAGGGCAGAATTCGAACCCCCAAGGCTGTTTGGCGGGAAAAGGAGGGGTTAGAGTAGGATTTTGGTAAGAGAAAGCAGTTTTATATATATATATATACATTAATATAGGCCTGTTATATATGTATATGTACGTATTGTATGGTGTGTACAGTATGTTTAAGGCATTTTAGTTTAAAATACACATACGTTTGTGTAGTCATAATAAAAACAACCCAAATATTTCTGTGGCTAAGTGTGAGTAGGCTGCTTTCACCTTGAACCACTGAATCTGTGTTTTTTTTTAAGGTTTAAGGTTGGTTAAGGGTTTCCACTCCAATATGAAGATAAAAGGATTAAACACATTGGTGCTCCAGAGCGGGCCCACCTCATATGGGTGGACAAAAAACAAGAGCACGGGTAAACAAAGCGACTGCACAATGTTTACGGTTCATTTAGGAGTTGAGAACCGGGACGCCTTCTCCACTCTTGACTCTGTCGTTTTTTGGTGAACATGACCAATTGATTGGCTGCAGCCACGATTACTAGGCTGGAAAAATAAGCATATCAATTAATTCCGGCGGCACCCACCCCCACCACCCTCCCTGCCTCCCTCCCTCCCTGCCCCCGACTCTCAGATCAGCCCCGGTCACTATGGGAACACGGCGGGCCGTTGTCAGGATGTGGGGTCCTTGGGAGTGGGAGTCCAGCTGCGTCCACCTCCGGTGTTCATCCCCGCCGGCCTCCCATCCCCCCACCGGGCCCCAGCCTGGCCGGATCTGTTTTTCTAAACCGAGAGAGGAGTGACTCACCACTCCGGTTTCAAAACAGGCCATGAACTGGGGGGAGGGAGGGAGGGAGGGAGTTAACGTTAAAGGCCCTGTTTAAACAGGTGTTTCAGCTCACCACACAGTCCTCTCATGCAACAGCGAGGCTTATGAACTATTTAATTTGAGCGACTGGATATGTTGTGGTTTAAATGGTGCACTGACGTCAGGGTCGGCCAAATCGGATGCAAATCTCACTGTATTTTTCTTTTTTTTCCCACGATTTAAGCAATTTCATGCAGACTTGGCTGTTGGTTTTGAAAATGCATTATAGCAGGAAAAATCTATTTAGTGGAAACCAGTGGCAGGGCAGTCATGTGAAAATCTAGTCTGCATTTTGAATAAACTGTACTGAGAACAAGGAGGAAGATTAAGCGGGCATAAGAAAGCCATATGAACAGCGGCAGACAGGAGTATGGAGACTTGAATTACCCTCGGCTCTTGAATGTCCCTCGGGATAAATAAAGTATCTATCTATCTATCTATCTATCTATCTATCTATCTATCTATCTATCACAGTTTCCCATACAGCATTATCATTAAAATCTATTGATTCTAATAAAGAAAAACAAGTTGCAAGTTTATCTGCTTCTTTCACTAAACCCCCTGCTGTGAGGGTCTTAAAGCAAAGTAAACACGCTTTTGTTCTGCTGTCATTATTACCATCTACCATTGCTCAACCAGTGGTCTCAATCAGTGTTTGTTTACAGGCCTACATTCTCATTAGCTCATTAGTTTTAAGTAAAGTTGTGGACGGGGATCAGATCTCGGCCTGTTGTTTGTTGACAGAACAAAAAATTTTAAGGTCCTCAGGCCCTGCTCCATACACATTTCTGCCCGTCCCCCCCCCCCCAGGTCTCCCGTCCCCACCACCACCAACCCGTCTCCTTTTACAGACAGACTCTCCACCCACTCTCTTACCCAGCAGGCGTTTTTTGTGAGAGAGCTACAACTTGCTTAGCCTGGTCCTCCTGTGGACTCCCTGTCCTAGGGCTGAAGTGCAAAGCTTGTAATGACAGGTCAGGGAAAAAAATAAAAAATGTTTACACTGGGACAACATCCACCAACTCACTGATGACAACATCTGATGACAATATATTGATGTGACTCCAAAGTGCGTTTTTTTTTTTTTTTTTGTGAAAAGGTCCTCCTACACTTCCTGTGCCTCTAGACAAAGAGGCATGCGGTTTGGTTGAAATCTATGTCCAAAACCTCAAACTGTTCCCCTCCACTGGTGGTACTTTCTGTTTAGTCAAGCCTTTTGTTGAGATAACAGAATAACAGCTGTAACTTAAGAACCCAGCGAGGGTGACTACTCGTCCTCACACGCCAAAAAAGCAACAAGTCACAGAATATAGGTGTTTACTGTCGGGGGGGGTGATTGGGTCCTTTAAGGTTATTCAAACTACGGTAGGATTATGAGACTGTTTACAACTAAGGATTTACACAGGTCTGACAAGGTTTGGTTGTAGTATACAAGGGGGAACAAAGGTTACTATGCACAGGTTTGATTACGTAAACTCACTTGTTAAGTGTTGTGCTGCTCATAACAACAAACCTTTGTCTTTTTGTAGATATTGGCTTCAGTTTATGAATCTTTCTGCCATTATTTGTGCTCGGAAACCAGCATAACTTCACAAATCTGGTCCAGTGTGTTATATGTTGGAGGATCTATTCATGCTGTCAACAATCATGTGGCCCTTCTGATTTATTTTGTGACCCCAAAAACAGTATATAATATTCATAGGGTATAGTTTAATTAGTGTATATATTGTGTTTTTGTTACATTGGAATGGGCTGTTTTTATCTACAGGGAGAGAGCGGGTCATAAAATGTACCCTAATCTCACCCCTCATACCTAAAACCTGACCAAGCCAGCCAACGAGAGCACGCGGGTCCTCTTCCACAGAGGCAGCCATGTTGAACCTCCATGTTTCTACAATGGCCTAGAACAAAAACAAACAAACTCTGGCTGTATAAGTTACGTTTTCTAACTAGGTTCGGGAACAAAGATCCCGCCTTGAAACTTATCTCATTTCCGCACAAAATAGTATTTAAGCACACCGTATCCGTTCACTTCCTCTTTGACTTAGTTTTCACATCCCTTACAAACCCCCCAAAAAAACAGAAAAACAGAAAAAAGTTTCTCATGAGCTGTATTCAAATCTGCAACTTCACCGACAAATCGCACTAAATACTACACATTGGTCCTTTAAGGGGTCGCCCAAACAATAACAATCCTGTACTTACACCAATATATCCTGATATAAACGGTCAAACTGAGGTTGAATTCAATATCTTGTGTCATACAGTTAATGAGAGTCGTGTGGGAATCAAGTAATACTCTTTTAAAACAAACTGGATGAGTGTATAAACTGTAACAACTCCCAATCCAAACTCAAACTGTCCCCTAAAAACATGATATATATATATATTATTACTCTTTGTAGTTTCACTTTACAATCTCAATGACGGATCAAATGATTAAAGTACAAAACACAAGAGTAAGATAGGATTTCTGAATAGACTGTATAATTCATAATTATAAACACAAATAATTACAATTAACAAGCTTAAACAACTATATTACACTAAAAACTAGGGCGACTCAAATTCAGCCTCCACTTACACTTAGACTTTGAGTTCAAAACTTTTAGAAAATAAAATAATTAAACATACGTATCAAGAAAAATATTCACAAACCATATTTAATCTTACCAAAACTTGTTTACATGTACTATTTTACAGCATTTTTATGGTAGTAGTTAATTAGTGATGTTGTAGTGACAGTGTCATATTTTATATTTATCCTAGTATCACTATAGTTTAATTCCTGTGTGCCTCCTACTCAATAAAGTCACATAATAAAGACCATACAATCTCTAGGCTTTTAAAATAGCTTAACTATTCGTGTTATTAAAGTTATAACCTAGCTTTGATGTCGGTATAATGCCCACTCAAACATTAAATATGTGTATATACTTCCCTTTAACTTGTTTAGTGTTCGGTTTACAGTGAAAACGTAAACCGCTATGCAAAATGTGAGGCAGCCGTTAAAATGTCCATTTCAGTCAAAGAGCGGGCGGTTGGGCGGTTTTTATTTTATGATTAACGTTTAACGGCAGCGGCGGTTAACTATTACACAGTGAGTCAACGCAGCCGTTAGCCGTTAGTGTTCAAACTCACCGGCTGTCAACAACAAAAAAAAAAAAAAATGTTGATGTCACGGCGGTTACACAGTGCGGGAAATTAACGTTAAACTCAACCGCCCCCTTTTTCTTTTTTTTTTT